CCAGTCTGTGGGATTTGCTGTGGCGGCTCCAGTGGACTCGTGTTCTCTCTCTCCACCTGCCCCGCCCTGCACTGGTACAGGCTGGGTGAGCGTGTGGAGGTGCCCAGCCCCCCCTTCCCACCCTGGAGCCGTGAGGAGAGGGAGCCGGCCTGCTAAGCCCTAATCAAGTGCTCGTTCCGGGACCACGTAAGTGTCTGGGTGGATTTTCTAACGGCTTTGTTGAGGTAGAATTAGCACACGACAAAATCCCCCCATTTAGCATATCCAATTCAATGCTTTTAGTACGTTTGTAAGGTCGTGCAACCATCACCACACAACTGGAGGCCGGTCTCAGCATCCCCAAACTTCCCCTGTTCTCCCTCCAGCCCCCGTCAACCACTGTCCGCTTTCTGCCTCTACAGACCGACCTCTTCTGGACATTTCACGTAGACGGCGGTATAGCGGATGTGATCTTTCGTGTCTGACCTTTTCCACTTAGCGCGACGTTTCTGAGGATCCTTTGTGCAGCACCCGTGAGTACTTTGCTCCTCTCGTGGCCAGCCGAGTAACGTTCCCTTGTACAGAGATGCTGTCCGCTTTTTGTCTGTCCGCTCGCTGGTGGGTGCACGTCATTTCCAGTCGGGGCCATAGGAATAGTGCTGCCGTGAACATCGTGAGCAAGTCTTTGTGGGGACCTAGGTTTTTCGTTCTCGTGGGCAGATTTCTAGGAGAAGAACTGTGTAATAGGGTACCTCTTGACAACTTAAAACTCTTAAAGAAATTGGTAAAGACCCTGAGAAGACTTTCTGGAACGGCCAGACTCTTTTTCCAGGGTGACTTCACCACATTTTCACCAACAACATCTGAAGGCTCCTGTTTCTGCACGTTCTCACCAACGCTTGTCTTTTTCCTTGCACTAGTGGGTGTGAAATAGCATCTCATCGTCCTTTGATTTGCACTTCCTTGATGACTTATGATTTGAGCCTCTTTTCATGTGCTTATTGGCCATTTTTGCATCTTCTTTGGTGAAATGTCTACTCAAATCTTTTAATTGGGTTGTTTGTATTTTTATTATTGAATTGTAAGAGTTTAAAAAATTTTTTTTATTTACATCCAAGTTAGCATATGGTGCAACAATGATTTCAGGAGTAGCTTCCTTAGTGCCCCTGACCCATTTAGCCCATCCCCCCTCCCACAACCCCTCCCGGAACCCTCTCTTTGCTCTCCATATTTAAGAGTCTCATGTTTTTGTTCCCCTCTCTGTTTTTATATTATTTTTGCTTCCCTTCCCTTATGTTCACCTGTTCTGTGTCTTAAAGTCCTCACATGAGTGAAGTCATATGATTTTTGTCTTTCTCTGACTGACTCATTTCACTTGGCATAATACCCTCCAGTTCCATCCACGTAGTTGCAAATGGCAAGATTTCATTCTTTTTGATTGCCGAGTAATACTCCCTTGTATATATAGACCACATCTTCTTTATCCATTCATCCATCGATGGACATTTGGGCTCTTTCTGTACTTTGGCTATTGTCGATAGGGCTGCTATAAACATGGGGGTGCATGTGCCCCTTCGAAACAGAATGCCTGTATCCTGTGGATAAATGCCTAATAGTGCAATTGCTGGGTCGTAGGGTAGTTCTATTTTTAGTTTTTTGAAGAACCTCCATACTGTTTTCCAGAGTGGCTGCACAAGCTTGCATTCCCACCAGCGGTGCAAAAGCGTTCCTTTTTCTCCGCATCCTCGCCAACATCTATTGTTGCCTGAGTTGTTAGCCATTCTGACTGGTGTGAGGTGGTATCTCCTTGTGGTTTTGATTTGTATTTCCCAGATGATGAGTGATGTTGAGCATTTTTTCATGTGTCAGTCGCCCATCTGGATGTCTTCTTTGGAGAAGGGTCTATTCATGTCTTTTGCCCATTTCTTCACTGGATTATTTGTTTCTTGGGTGTTGAGTTTGAGAAGTTCTTTATAGATTTTGGATACTAACCCTTTATCTGATACGTGGTTTGCAAATATCTTCTCCCATTCTGTCAGTTGCCTTTTAGTTTTGCTGATTGTTTCCTTCACTGCGCAGAAGCTTTTTGTTTTGATGAGGTCCCAGTAGTTCATTTTTGCTTTTGTTTCCCTTGCCTCCAGGGACGTGTTGAGTAACAAGTTGCTGCGGCCAAGATCAAAGAGGTTTTTGCCTGCTTTTGATGAATTCGTGTCTTCCATTGAGGTCTTTCATCCATTTTGAGTTTATTTTTGTGTCTGGTGTAAGAAAGTGGCCCAGGTTCATTCTTCTGCATGTCGCCGTCCAGTTTTTGCAGCACCACTTGCTGAAGAGACTGTCTTTATTCCATTGGCTATTCTTTCCCGTTTTGTCAAAGATTAGTTGGCCATACGTTTGTCGGTCCATTTCTGGGTTCTCTATTCTGTTCAATTGACCTGTGTTTGTTTTTGTGCCAGGACCATACTGTCTTGATGGTGACAGCTTTGTAATACAGCTTGAAGTCTGGGGTTGTGATGCCTCCTGCTTTGGCTTTCTTTTTCAAGATTGTTTTGGCTATTCGGGGTCTTTTCTGGTTTCAGGAAAATTCTGGGATTATTAGTTCTAGTTCTGTGAAGAATGCTGGTGTTATTTTGATAGCGATTGCATTGCATTGTAGATTGCTTTGGGTAGTACAGACATTTTAACAATATTTGTTCTTCTAATCCATGACATGCTGCCATTGTTTTGAGCCACTACATTTTGGGGCGACATTTTTTTACTGAACAATAGATAACAGAAACTGACTGCCGTGTGCAAAGGCACAGAAGCGTGTTTACAGAGGCACAGGGCACCCCACCCACTGCACTGGAGGCACAGAGTATAGTAAAAGGGGAGAGACAGAGTCACAAGCACTGTCCTGAGAGGCCTACAGCCCCTTTGTCTATGCATACATACACACGTTTCTCCAAAATCTGGGTTGAAATATACATAGCATATTTTTCTTACCTAACAACACACTATGAACATTTTTTACAACCTTAAGTGTTTTTTTCTGGAGTGTGGTTTCCAATAGCCTTTTGGTGTTCTGTGATGTGGATACACTATAATCTGTTTACCCAGCTGTCCATCTGGGGCATTTAGACCAACATCATGTATAAGCAAAACATTACTAACAACCCATTAAAATGGTCCATTAATCCTTAAAACATTAGTAGGAACTATGGGAAGGAAAAGATTATATTGCCATTACTTTTTTTAAGCTTATTGATTTATTTTCAGAGAGACAGAGAGAACTCAAGTGTGAGCGGGGGAAGGGCAGAGCCAGAGAGAATCCCAAGCAGGCTCTGCACTGTCAGCACACAGCCCAACGTGGGGCTCCGTCTCACAGACCGTGAGATCATGGCCTGAGCCGAAGTCAAAAGTCAAGAGCCTAACTGACTGAGCCCCCAGGCGCCCCATATATTGTCATCATGAATAGAATTTGGTTATATCCTGACAAAGCACAAGAGAAAGCCCTTGCCATAGTGTTGTGACTAATCAGAGCTGGGACCGTTGTGTGTCCTAAGACGTCAAGGGAAGGTCCATCCCCCAAACGGCAAACAATGAAACAAAATACCTCTCAGGGCAGAGAGAGCAGGATGGCCCCAATATCTGTTCTCTCCTCTCCTGTGGGGACAGAGCCCTTGATTTAGGGCTGGAGGTAAGACCCCCCCAAAAGGGCAAGCCCCCTTCTTAGCCTTGTAGCAGAAGCTGGGCAGGTGCGTGTGTTGTGAAGGAATATTTGAGTGTGTGGACAGTGACACGTTGTTTCTCAGTGAGGGTACTGATCGACCGCATATAGATCCAAAGAGGACAATAGGGGAGGGGGACAGTCCCTGCGTGCATGCATGTGACCGGCCACAGGCGCCCAGATCAGACACTCCCCCCGGGTGTGTGCAGGGGGTTCCCGGGGAGACTGGCGTGTGGCTGGTGGCCGGGTGAAGCCGGGGCAGCCCCAGTGTGGTGCCCCATCCAGTCCAGGCCCAGATAGAACTGAAGG